TTTTTTTCTACTAAACACGATAAGAAAAAATAAACCTTAACGGCGTAGAACAGGGTAACCAATTAAAAATCAGCGGGGTCCAAATAAAGAAAATCATCAACCAGTAAAGGTCCGGAGACATTTTTAATTAAAATATGTTATTTTAAACAGAATTTAAAACTGTAATAAAATGAGTTTTTTATCCATGTTATACATTGAATTTTTTAATTACAAAAAAATAGAACATTTTTATATCTAAAGTGTTTTTTTAAGTAGAGAACAACAATCGTTCAGTTTGGTTTATTGACAATTTCGTGATTCCCATATTTTCTCAAACACCTGAACTGATCGTTTGTTATTTCCTTTCTTTTTTCTGTCTTAATGTTGGCAGTGGGTTTTAGGCTGCCCTGCAAGGCTTTAAACCTGGGTCTGAATGGAGACTAAGCCATTCTCAAGCACATATCAAGGAGCTCATTTTGAGCCTGGATCCAGATTTATTGTTGATTCTGTTCATGGTGGAGAATCCTGCTTCACAGCAGCAGGTTGAGCCAAACATCCTCTAAATGTGCAGGGTCATCTTTGAGCGCCATTTCACTTTTCTTTCACCAGTTCACCGCAGTTCTTCCAGCAGTCCACACTTTCTCTGCTCTCTTTTTCTCATCGTCTTCTCCTTCTTTCCCATCGCCCGGCTTGCCACAGGTTTGCCTGCTGTGTCTAAAAGTAGCAGCAGCAGCAACCCAGACTGACAGCTCATTGGCTCATTTGGATCACGTGCAGCCTGGAGCCGGACGCTCCCCAGGGCTTTACCGTATTAACAGGAGAAGCAGCGCAGGTGAAATTAGACACAGCCGTCAGACAACATGCAGTAATTTATAAATGTTTTAAATCAGGTTGGGTCCGGATTAGCCAGCAGGTGGGTCTGGTTCCAGACCGCAGTCCGCTAATCCATGACCTCTTGTGTAGAAAGTATGCCAGGCCTGTGTGTGGCGCTGTGACATAGTTTCTAAAACACACTGAGAACAACAAAGACATTCCAGTTTCTGAAGTTTAGTATTTGGTCATATATGGTGGCTGCGACATTATCTTCGTACAAATACCTGTGTTGTATCTTATAAAAACTAAAATATTTTTAATAATAATCTCTGGGTTTTTTCATTATTCCTATAAGGGAGTTTCCATACCAGTTTCATATATTGTTAGTTTATTAACCTACAGTGAATTTCAGTTAGATCTTCTGGTCCTTTTGTCATTCTCCACTCAACAATCATTATTTATGCTTCTGGTTTGTCATTGTTCATTGCTGGATTTCTGAATCAATCTATCCATTACCCCCTTGGTTTCTCTGCTTCTGCCCATCCTTGTAATTTTGAAATCATTTTTATTATTAAAGAACTCCTTCTATCCATCTACAACCCTGCTGGGGTTGTGAGGGTTGCTGGTGTCTATCTCCAGCTGTCCAGGCGGGGTCCACCCTGGACAGGTCTGCAGTCCATCGCAGAGCAACACAGAGACAAACAACCATTCACACTCACACCTAAGGAGGATTTAGAGAAGACAATTAACCTAACAGTCATGTTTTTTCAATGTGGGAGGAAGCCAGAGTACCCAGAGAGAACCCACAAATGCACAGGGAGAACATACAAACTCCATGCAGAAAGACCCTGGGCCAGGATTGAACCCCACACCTTCTTGCTGCAAGGCAGCAGTGCTTCCCACTGTGCAGCCCAAGAACGCGCTGTTTGAATAGTTAGTCTGCATTTGTGTTTTTTCTGTACCACAATATGACACTTTATGCTAAAACTAAAAGCCTAATACACTCTAAGATACAACTACTTTGCATCATAATGTCAAGAGCCAATTTTCATTTCTGAAATTAATGTTTAATCTACTTGGCCACCTAGTTTAGATTTTATTTTTTACATTTTGCACCTCAGGCAGACTTTAACACACACAGACTGGTATATAAACATGTTCTCCTGCAGATTTCTTCTTTTATGTTTTTTCTAACGACCAACAGAAACACCGTGGTGACAGAAAGGGATTCAAAGCTCCACAAACCTGAAGCTCTTCCTCAGTTAAAAGAAGCCAGATGAGCTCCAGCAGACAGTCTGCAGGGAAGAGCTGCAGCTTTGCAGCTTGTAAAACCTCTCTGATAAACAAAGTCTGCACAACCTCTGAGCTCATCCGCTCAGTGACAGGAGAGCCTGGAGGAGGTTAACACATTTACCAAGAGAAGTGGGGGTTACTGCTGCATGCCTCCAAACGGAGACACAGGGCTGCTTTCTCTATAGATCTGCTGCTATAGGCTTAGACTGCTGGAGGACATAGGGACCCCTTTTTCATCATTCTGCTTCATTCTATCTCTATTCTCCCACTCTGCAGAATCTGTTAGTTCAATCTCTAACGTTCTTCTCTCTCTGCTTTTTCTCATAGTAGCTTCATCTGGTCTGTTCCTGTTTAGCTGTGACTCCATCCTGGAGAGAAATATCAGCTGTGCTGCTGCCATCAACACCTTTGTTTAGATGTTGGAGATCGGCCTGTTTTCCAGTGTAGTCCTGTTTCTCCTCTTGCAAGAAGAAGTCCAAACACAACACATTGATGTTTGTTAACTATTAAAATCAGATTGATTTAGCCTTTTAGTCTCAGAAAGTAAAGTTAAGTCTGTTTAAAGCTCAGCTGAGAATGTCCTGAAAAGACGTGATTAATGCTGTGGTGTAAATAAAGCAGAAACATTTCTTAATCAGCCGTTTAGTGTTTAAAAGATTGATGCTATAAGCAAAGAAAACAAATGATCTCCGTTTACATCAGGACTGATTTGCAGTGGTCTAAATCAAAGCCCGAGCCACTGAAATCCATCCATTAAAGGAAGATGAAAGCAGCATGTTCCCAATTTCCTTCAGAGAGCTTTCTAAATTTAAAGCTTTGCTCCTGATTAAAAAGTACATCAAACATGAGTTGGTTTGTTTTTCTCTCCCAGAATAGAGAAAATTGGCATGAATTGAACCCTTTAGGCCCCACATCCTCATGTTTAATCGGTTTCTGCCTCCATCATTCATGTAAACCCCACCTTCATCTGAAAGCTCAGCTTTAGCACTTCAGTTTACTTTTGGTTCATTGTCAGGTTCATCCATCTCACTGATTGGTTCCTATTCCCTCATCAAACACAGACACAACCTCTGAGAAGGTTTCCATTTATTTTGGGGCTGAGACATCATATGATGGGGTCATCTGGAGTGGAAACGTGTTCAGAAATTTGAGCAGGACATGCTAACATGCAAGATAGTTTTACTCTGCAAAAACCACCGAAGGCAGAGCAATTTAACTTTGATATATTTATGTAAATGTAATGTACACATATCAATGTTAAAATAGGTTATTTCCTTGAAGCTGGATCCAAGGCTAAATGAGGCCCTAAGCAGCGGGTTAGTTCACCTCTGCCTTGGACCGGCTCTGGGGAAACGTTCCGTTATTCTTTCATAGTTAAAACACCAATTCAGCTCACGAGAGCAAACATGTAGAGTTATACAGTATGATACAGGAAAATCATGCTTTTGTTCCAAAAAAAAAAAAAAATAGTTAAAAAACAATCCACTGGATTTTATTTCCAAGTTTGAAGACATTTCTCTTCCCATCCAGGAAGCTTTTCAAAATGTCAGAAATAGCGTTGAGCCCAAGGCTTTATAGAGTAGACCAAAACAAAGCCTTGTTTTTGTTTAGAAAACATGCAAATTAAAATGGACTAACGGGTCCCCCCCTTTGGAATTGGGGTCGTTTGCCTCCTTTTTTTAGCCTGCAATGCCCCATACCTGTCTATGTTTCTGAAAGGGGGGGGTCATTAAAGGGAATTATTGGCCCGGCTGGCCAGGTCTGGAAGGGATCAACTCAAATGCTGCATTGAGTTGATCCCTTCTCACTATCATCGCAGAGACATAGGCAGGTATGGGGCATTGCAGGCTAACAAAAGAAGCCAAACAACCCCCATTTCAAAACTGCTGGATCCGTTCATCCGTTTCTATTTGCATGTTTCTAAACAAAAACAAGGTTTTGTTGTGCTACTCTATAAAGCCTTTAAATTCAAAGCTATTTCTAACAATTTTAATTGAAAAAGCTTCCTGGATGGGAAGCAAAACGTCTTCAAACTTGGAAACAAAGTCCAGTGGATTGTTTTTTTAACATATTTGGAATAGAAAATGACCTGGATAACTGAGAATCTTCACCAGCATAATGCTTTTAGTGAGGTTCACCTGAATAAAATATTTAGTCACCAATTTAACTAAAATAATTCCTCAGGATAGCTGCAGTTTATTTGTACGGAAGAGGATTAGGGCCACTGGAAAAAAAAAAAAAAAGTTTACTGATTTTAAAATTTTATTTCAATTTAGTATTGGAGAAAAGTCAGAATTCTGACTTTGTTCTCAGAACTCTGACTTTTTTTTTTTTAGAATTCTGACTTTTTTGTTCAGAATTCTGGGATTAAAGTCAGAATTCTGAGAAGAAAGTCAGAATTTCTAAGAAGAAAGTCAGAAAACTGAGAAAAAAGTCATAATTTCTAAGAAAAACGTCAGAATTCCGACTTTTTTCTTAGAAATTCTGACTTTTTTTATTTTAGAATTCTGACTTTTTTTTTCAGAATTCTGAGAAACAAGTCAGAATTCTGAGAAACAAGTCTTCTTCTGACTTTCTTCCCATACTAAACTGAAATAAAATTTAAAAATCAGTGAATTTTTTTTTTTCCAGTGGCCCTAATCCTCTTCCGTATATTTGAAATGGTCTAAAATTTGCAGAAATATACATTTTCTGTTACATTCTGGATGCAAAATGCCTTGCTATGCTAACCATGCAAAGCCTTGTTGCTGAGCACAATAAATAACAAATCTCTGTTTCTTTATTGAAGCTAAAATATAATTGAAGTGTAATTTACTAATAATAAATTCTGTCAAAGAAAGGTTCCAGAGTATAATCGGAAAAGAACAGAACAGGAGAGTCAACCTCATGCAGCACATGTTTAAATCATGTCATACCTGAGTGTGAGAGCTGTAGCCGTGGCCTGGTCTGTCTCCAGGTTCTGAGTTCTGGATCACTTCTAGACTGTGAAGGTTGCACGCAAAGCAGCAAGAAGAGAAACATTGCTGGAATCAGAGGATGTGTGGCCCTTCTGGTGCTGAGATCTGCTGCCTGCAGGCCTGCAGGCAAAGCCGGCATCTTCTTTGAGTGGTCTTCAGTGATGTGGAGGAACTGATGGGAGGAAGAACCATCCAGGAGGTCACATCACACACTGGGCTGGAAGAACAGAGGAAAAAAGCCAGAGAATGTCATGATTGGCTCTGCAAAGTCTTCAGATTAAATCCGCACATCTTTAAGTATCTTCCTTATATCTGATATTTTGAGGGGGGACGCTGAAGCCTTCATTCCAGCAGGAATCCTAATTCATCTTATTCTGTCAGGAGGCTTTCTGCTGAGCGTTACCTCAGTGGGTTTTTAGGAGCCTAACAAGTCGGAAAGACGTCTGCTGAGAGAGAAAAGACAGCGAGACGGTTTTAAAATCCGATTCTGCTCAATGTTTCAGCTTCACCTCAGCTTGACTCTGCAGACACAGGAATGTGGAAAACAGTGGAAATGATCTCAGCAGCAGAGATTTCAGAACCTGCTGACATCTTATTCTGCAGATCACTTCTCACTTTATAAAGCCAGGTTTCCATTTTAATTTAAATAGTTTTAAATGGTGAAAAATTCAATGATCCAGCTGCTCCTGATGGCTCTCCTGGTAAATCAGTTGGTTTTAGAATCAGACAGTCAGTAACAATCAGCAGAGGGTTACGGTTGAATATGGCCTCCAACCTGAAGCTAAGCCCAAACCTGCTGTTTCCATTTCATCTGTGACTCTTTGACCCTTCAAACTGAGTGAACAGTTCATCTGAAATGAAGCTGTTTCCCACATAAAGGACCAGGAAAAGCAATATAACGGAACATCAGGGCGATAATCCAACAGTGGAAGCTCTTTCAGGCTTTATGGACGAGTTTCTGCATGAACATGACTTTTAATTAGGGCCGGAAAACATTTCCACTTAGAGGTGATACAAGCTTTTCCAGCATATCTAAACCTTAAACATACACCAGCTGGAAACAGCTACAGGGCAGAGAAAGTGGCTGATATTAGTCAGCTCAGTGAGGCAGCATCTTTAGGCCTCCATATGGAAACAAACTCATATAAAACATCTTTTTTTTTGTGTCTGCTGCTCCAACTTTTAAACACGTTCAACCAAGCAGAACTCCAGTCAGCTAGAAACCAATCAAAAGATCACCTAAGTCCATGGTTACAAAATTCAAATTCCTTACATGGAAACTGTGAGTCAAAGCACAAGAGAGAAAAAAAAATCCTTCTGGAATCAAATCTGAAACTAAACGGTTTATGTAATTCTGTGATCAAATTCTTTATTATCTGTGGGGCAAAGATGATTTAAGTTTCCTCTGAGATAAAAAAACCCATCCTGCATTGGAGAGAGGCTCAGAAAGGCAAACTGAATGAGGAAACATTTTAAACGTAATTTTTCTCACTACAAACATGTCCTACAAACAGGTCTCGTAGAGTAAAGGGTAAGCCAAGAAGATCTGTTGAAAAACTGTATTTTTTATTTTTATTTTTTTACAGTGTCCTGTCTGGCAAAGTCGCAATAAGAATAATTGTCTTGATGCCAAAAAGAGCCCAACAGATTTTACTTTCACAAGTGTAGCAGTATAGCAATTGCCATATTGCTCCACTTGTTTCATGCATATAAATTGCTTTATTATAATTATGCAGGGAGTTTTACAGTTTATATGGACACTGCAATGTAAATAGAGCAAAAAAACAGAAGAAAAAGGAAAGAAAAAAAAGAGAAAAGATGAAAGAAATAGGAGATAGAAAGGAGATCATGACAAAACATTTTCAGTCTGCTTCATCACCACAAACGAGATGTAAAACAGCAGAACCAAAAGACATGGTACGAGATACACAATAAAGCAACACCTTAAAACTATCACTGAAGTAGTATTAGTACGTCTGACGTGTACTCTGTGTTACCTGAAGATATGAATGTGGGCTTTCTGAATGGAAGTACATCTCTGAGTACCTGGAACTGCAGGATTTTTCTCCAGTTTTACCATAATACAGGCTCCTACCATGATACAGGCTCCTACCATGATACAGGCTCCTACCATGATACAGGCTCCTACCATGATACAGGCTCCTACCATGATACAGGCTCCTACCATGATACAGGCTCCTACCATGATACAGGCTCCTACCATGATACAGGCTCCTACCATGATACAGGCTCCTACCATGATACAGGCTCCTACCATGATACAGGCTCCTACCATGATACAGGCTCCTACCATGATACAGGCCCATACCATGCAGAGCCTGACAGGATGGAGACGTTCTTGACCAAAGTTTAGAGGCTTGTTGTCCTCATTTCTCCTCCTCTTAAGACAAACTCCTGGATCTCTGCTCTTTCTGGTCAAACAGGCTGAATTTAATAAATCTTCTTGATGTTAGAAATTGCAACAAACAATAAATTTTTACAGGATTTGTTTTATATACAACCAATGAGGCAACTAGGTGTGTCAGATTTATTAAATACAATTTAAAAATCGAGATTTAAGATAAATACGTTTTAATTTTAAATTTATTCCTAAACGATTGTTGTATATTTTTATATATAGTTTAACTTCTTTATCTGGTTGTCATAGTTCTGTATTAATTTCCTATTGTCCGCTTCCTTGGTAGCACTTCCTCTTCCTCCTGTTACAGTAGGACTGTAAACATGGCTGACCTCGCCTTTAAACCTCTGAAAGCTTTATATGTTTGCTTAAACCTTCCAGGAAAATGAACCGTATCTTAGTCCAGGAATTTGCTGTATTTGCAGCAGGATGAGGGTAAATGGGTGGTGGACCTTATTTTAGACTGATTAATTGTCAGAGAGGCAGAGTGGAGGACGCCAGATTCTGACCATGCTAATCCCTCCCATTATTTCTAATCTATCCGCTGTTATTTATCACATTTGGTATTTTCTCTTCATACTCCCCATCCTCTGTCCTAATCCTGCTCACTTGATCCTTTTATACCTTTTGTCACCTGAACTATCCGTCACTTCCTTCTCTGATATGCTTTATCTCCGTCCTTCAACCACATGCAGTCTTCCTGCAAACCCTTCAAATCCTGTTACTCGGGCAATAAATACCTCCCTTATCTCCAGCTTCTTGCTTCTTAATCTCTCATTCTTTGATGTTGGGCTTTTTTTACTTGCTAAAAATCCCAAACCTAATCACAGCAAATCTCTTTTATCTGTATTTTTTTAGCGTTTTGCTGTGAGTATTGCCTGCAGGATGGAAGAACACTGCAAAAAATCTAAATCTAGATAAGTCATTTTTTCTTAAAATAGGTGCGTTTGTTCTTGAATTGAGGAGGTAAAAGAGACATATTGCCAATGGAACAAGACAATTTACACTTGAAATAAGAAAACACAATTGCATTGTCTTATTTCAAGTGCATATTATCTGATTATCTTATTTCAAGAGTAAAATTACAAATTCCATTGGCAAACAATCCCATTTACCTACTCAAATAAGGGTAAATACACTTAATTTAAGAATTTTTTACTTTTTTCTAGATAGTTTTTGCAGTGAAGAGGCTACACACTGGAAAGACAATCTAGAAACAAGTAAAATGTTTCTTAAATTAACTGTATTTGTCCTTAATTTGAGTAGTTAAACAAGATAGTTTGAGATAGTATTTTTACTCTAAAAAATAAGATAATTAGATAATATGCACTTAAAATAAAACAATGCCATTGTGTTTTATTATTTTAAGTGTAAATTGTCTCGTTCCATTGGCAAAACGTCTCTTTTACCTCCTCAATCCAACAACAAACACACTTATTTTAAGAAAAAAATGACTTATCTAGATTTCCATTTTTTCCAGTGCATGAATTATTAATAAAATCCTGCTTAGCGTTTCCAGAAGACAACAGACGTAAAAACAGGGAAGTAACTAATGGATTCTAAACATAAAATATTAAAATAAGATTAGATCTCATGATTAAATCCAGATTCTAAATATTTTGTTGAAAGAAAAATAGAAAAAACTGACTGAAGGAAAAATAGCTCTGAACCACAGAGGTATGTGGTACTAAAAAGCCAAGCTGTAAAGACATCAGAAATAACCTTAAAGGAGCAGCTGCTGCATTACACTCAGATGGATTAATGAGGTAATTTCCAAACTATCTGAGGTCCTGTCATAACCTGAGATTATTCATATTCTGACAGCTGTAAAACTTCCCAGGAGTAAAAGTATCACCAGATGTTAAAGTTCATGATAAGGAAATGAGAAAAAGAACAGGTATGGATGTATGACTTTGGTTTGCAAAGCTGCTCCTTAGTTTTACCCTGAATATCATCCATCACCACCTCAGTCAACAAGTTTACACTCTTTTTTTTTTAGAATCGCTATTTCTTTCATTTGAAGAACATCTTTAATCTTTAAAATCCTGGTTCAGAACCTGAGCTGGAGCATGTTTATCTCCTCCTACTTCACTATTGTTGCAGCATTTTGATGTGTTTCTATTGGAAGGAGTTTGACCATCTGCCGCCTGTACAGAGTTTAGCAGCAGAGCTTCTATCTGAGCCACATCAGTCTCTCTGCACTCGCTGCCAGGCAGGTCGGTCCTTTAACACTGTTTGGTCTTTATGCCTGTTGGATTCAGAAAATGTAGGTTTGCAAATAAATAGAAATTGAGTCTACACAGGAAAGAGATTTAAGCAGCTTCTGCAGGAGCGGAAGGAAAAGCCCAATCCAACTTCAAGCCTTCCTCCTCCGAATCGCCTCCTGCAGCCGTCTTTTTTTAACAGAACATAACACATGGTTACAAAACAGTATTTGTTCTGACAGAACAATTGATCAGTTCATGAAGACAAGATGCTCCATCAGAATGACAAGGCAGGATGGTCTCCTGACTGGATCATGAAACAGGAGTAGAGCATCCCCTTGCAAAAATGTTTCATAAGAACACATTAATTTTATAATCATCATTGAATAAACCTAACAATGCCCATGCTTACATCTCTGACCCGTCTACAGCCTCAACCCCCTCCAGTCTAAGCTCATCGGCTCAGAGGCTGTTGGTATTGTTCATTGACGTTCCTCATCAGCAGACTTTATTAAAAATTCTTGCCTCCATCTTGTTATTGTCTCTAATAGTTTGCTGATTTATTTTGTTGTAACCTTTTTAAATAGAGGTTTC